TTTTTTTTTTTTTTTTTAGAGAGAGAGAGAAACATTGACGTGAGAGAGACACGTCGATTGGTTGCCTCCCCGACGCGCCCCAACCAGGGCTGGGAACGAACCTGCAACCTAGGTACATGCTGCCCTTGACCTAGAACCAAACTGGCGACTCTGCTGCTCAGGCCGACGTTCTAACTACTGAGCTACACCGGCCAGGGCCTCACAGGAGTTTTCATCAGCACATATGGAGGCTGCTCAGGGGGTTAGTGCTTGAGGGATTTGTGGGCTGTGATGGACACCGTGCCACCCAGGCCGGATGGAGCTCCTAGGCCCAGGCATTCCGCACCTCGTCCTGTGGCTCAAACTCACCTGGGCAGGCAGGTGACAGAGCAGAGGGCAGGCTGGGTGGGGCTGGGGCCTAGGGCCTAGGGCCAGCCCACGCCCAGCCTCTGCCCAGCCTCTGCCCAGCCTCTGCCCAGCCTCTGCCCAGCCCCTGCCCAGCATGAGGGGAAGGGGCTCCATGTGTTCTCATCAGTTTCCAAAATCTGGATTTTTACATGAGCTCCCTCAATTTTCACCTGTTAGGAGTGAATTAAAATTCTTGACAAACGCTGTCCCTGGGGGGCTGGATTCTGTCTTTTGAGGGCCTAGGGCTGCGACCCTGATTTTCCTGGATTGTGTCTCGGTCTGCCAGGAAGGGGGTGCCACACAGCAGCCCCATGGTCCCTGCCTGCAGGAGCCCTGGTCTAGAGGGAGCTGGTCTCCACCGCGGCGCTTACCGCCACCTGGAGGGCGGAGGAGGAACTGGCCGTGGGAACGGTCTGGAGACGCAGCTGCCCTGAAGCAGAGCAGTGACCAGGACTGGCCCCGGGGACTTCTGGGCTGTGCGCTCACAAGATCTCTATCTCGTGATGCAATGCCATTTGCACCGAACTCATCAGTTTTCACGAACGTAGATAAAAGAGGCCAACGTGTATTATTTCCACGGCGTTTTCCGGGCCTCGGCTCTGAGGGAGATGCTGTGTGAATCCATTGCACTGCACAGAACCCTACGCAGTGGCGGAGGGCCTGAGAGACTCTTGAGAGCTTTGACTGAGGACTTGGCTCTTTGCGCCGGGTGTGGTCCCTGTCCCCAGGGTCAGCGCCGCGCGCCTCCGCTCTGTGCGCAGACCCCGGAGTGGGAGAGTTCGGAGTATCCAATAGCAATGAGAATGAGGAAGAGAACTGGGGGCGCTTTTTCTAGACTGGGCGTTTTTCTAAGCACTTTGCTCACGTGGTTCAGGCCTCACCAGAGCCCTGCGAGTTCTGTTAGGGTCCCCATTTTACAGAGGAGGCACAGAGAAGGTAGGTAGATGCCCGAGGTCACACAGCAAGCTGGTAAGTGGCTGTGCTGGGTCCCTAAGACCACCCACTGTTGTGACTTATTCCAGCGAAAGGGGTGAAGTCTTGGGGAGTCACACAGGACACCAAATTCCCCAGCAAGGAGTTGAGACAACCCGTGTGAAATGTCACCAGGGAAGCCCCTTACAGACTCAGCGTCCAAGGTGTTATCAGGGGCTGGTCACCCAGGCATCCTAGCCTGGCATGTCCCCAAACCCAAGACTCTCCGGAGGACAGCAGGTGTCAGCATCAACCACACCCTTTGTCAGCTGGGGGCGCTGCCATCCTGAATAAAATTGGGGCTCTGTTTCTAAAAGGAGCGACTAGGTCACGGGCAACCCCTGCCACTCAGGTGTGAGTTCCTAATTGAAAGAGATCTCGTCCGATTGTTAGGTTGCTCCCTGCCGGGAAATGCCGATCCCTCCCTCCGGCCGGCACCAGCACCAGCACCAGCGGAGTCCTTCGAGCCCCTGGAGCTCACGGCCGCCAGTCCACACCCACCCGGCAGAAAACGCCCTGACGAAACTTCTCACTGGCTCTGTCTCGCTTATTTCCAGACAAACCGGGAACATTGAGCCCGTGGTGTTGCCGCTGGTGTGGTTTGAGGAGGTGAGGCTGCCTCGCTGTCCCTGTATGGGGCTCCCTTCGGTGTGGCCTCTGCAGTGGGGAGCCTGAGTGGGCATCGGAGGGAGGGGGGCCATTAGTGGAGGGGGAAGGCTGGGCTTGGGGAACCGACCGTGTGGCCTAGAACAAGCCAGAGAAACTTCACACTCTGCTGGCACTTGCCGAAGACAGAAGCTTCTAGAAACTGTAAAAGCCCAGCCTCAGGGTGTAATCATTTTCTGAATGTACCCTGACTGCTTCTCCTGAGACAAGGGAAGTTGGTTTTCAGGGTGTCAGCTTTCTTTTCTCTGGTTTTTCAGGGTTCCTTCTGGCCTAGCTCCTTTTAGTCATTGATTGATTGATTTTACAGAGAAAGAAGGAAGGAAAGAGAGAAACGAGAGAAACAATTTGTTGCTCCACCTATTGATGAATCATTAGTTGATTCTTGTACCTTGACCAGGGATCGAACCTGAAACCTTGGTGTGTCGGGACCGTGCTCTAACCAACTGAGCTACCCGGCCAGGCCTGGTCTGGTTCATTTTAAACTAGGGTGAGCTCAGGGCCAGAACAGGCAGCCTCCGAACGTGAAGTTCAGATGTGGGCGGGTGGGAGGCAGAGCTCTCTCTGCTCCACTCAGCCTTCCAGGGCCGCCGGGCTCCTTCCGTCCCGTGGGCCCACCCTCTGACGCCCTCTGAATCCATCCGGTTCCGTGGGTGGGGAGAGTGATGGAGAGAGCCCTGGGGAGGCTTTCACCCGCCAGGTGCGGGAGTTAACATCACTGTGCCCACGTCCCATTGGCCAGAATGCAGTCACATGGCCCTGCCAACTGCAGGGGATTCTGGGAAGTGCAGTCCCCCTGTGTGGCCCTGGAGTAAGCGGAGGCCTCCAGCCGGCTGGGGATGGGGATGAGGAAGGGGCCTGGGGTGGCATCTGCAGGTGGCCCGGCCACGTGTTGTGTCTTCCTCTCTCGGCAGAGAGGGGCCATGGAGGGTGAGACCCTGCAGACGTTCTACACCCAGCTGGTGTTGATCCCCAAGGTTCTGCACTACTCGCAGTATGTCCTCCTGGCCCTGGGCGCCGTCCTGCTGCTCATCCCTGTCATCTACGAGATCCGCAGCCAAGTAAGTGGCGGCCCAAGCAAGGCCCAGGCCAGGCAGCCCACTGCTTGCTTCTGGGGGAAGGAGGGGCTCGGATGGGCCCCCCCGAGTCGTCCCTTCCCGCTGTCCCCGCGGACAGATGCCATCTGCCCGGAGCTCACCCCGGGCAGTGTCGGGGTCTGTGCTGGGGGCAGGGGAGCTGTCGCTGGGTCCTTGCATCTCCTGCCTCCCGCGTGCCACCTCTCTGCTGGTTCTGGGAGGCCTGAGGACCCTCCCTCGGAGGGGCTGCCGGTGGGCTTTGGCTTAGGAGACCTTCATTCATTCATTCATTCATTCATTCACGACACCCCTTTGATGAGCAGCTGTTTTTCGAGGCATCGTGCACAGTTTGGGGGACACAGAAATGGCTAGAACGTGAATCTGAAGACCGGGGGGCAAGACAGACTTTACTTTGTCACAGGGCGACGGGCCTGCGATCTTGGCGCCCCAGGGGTGGTGGGGAGGGGTGAACAGCTACTGGTGGAGAGGGGACGCTGCTCAGTGGCAGGGAGTCTTGAGAAGCCATTTGGGATCCACCTTGGTGGCCCCCGCCTTGTCCTGGGACCCCAGTCTTTCTTCTCATTCTCAGGGCAGCCTGCGCCCTTGCTCGCTTGCTGGGGCAGCGATGACCACTCCCAGGTGCTCGGCCTGGGCTCTCACACCCTTAACCCTTTGCCTTCCAGCACCCCTCCCGTGGGGGAAAAGGTTCCCACTGGTGCGAGCGAGGGTCCCAGCTCTCGCCACGTCGAGGTCCCTGGTGTTTGAGCCCCGACGAACATTGGGTGTCACAAGACCGCTGGGGGCCTCTGTGCTCTGCCACTGCTCCGTGACAGCCAGGCTGAGCGGGGCTCTCCTGTGAGCCGAAGGGAATTCCCTAAAGTTTTTTTACTTAAATTACCCTGGGAAGGTGGAAGGGACCAGAAGCCAGAGCTCCCACACATGGGGCCTCCCAGGGGACCAGCGGTGAGGGGCTGGGCCAGGGGAGGAGGCCGAGGCAGCCCGTGTCCTTGTCCCCTCTGTCTCTCCCCTAACCGTGCATCGGGGGGGGGCAGGAGGAGAGTGAGGACTCCATGAGACATGCTGGTTTGGACCCCTTCCCTGCCTCACCCCCAGATCTGTGTCTGGCCCCCAGACCCAGTGAGATTGCCATTGATGAGTCAGCTGGGGCTCCCTCCCCGCAGGTTTCATTGGAGGCCACGTAGATGAACTTCACCCCATTATGTGTGTCTCCGCTTAGCCTTAACGTTGCTGTTTGTCTCGTGCGCTGGTGAACTCAACATACTTTATTTTATTATTTTAAAAATATATCTTTATTGACTTCAGAGAGAGGAAGGGAGAGGGAGAGAGCGATAGAAACATCGATGATGAGAGTCACTGATCGGCTGCCTCCTGCAGCCCCCGCTGGGGATCAAGCCAGCAACCCGGGCATGCGCCCTGGCCGGGAATCGAACCAGTGACTTCTTGGTTCATGGGCTGACGCTCAACCAGCTGAGCCACCCCAGCCGTGCAAATCAAAAGTCTTTTAACAGAAAAATCTCTGTTTCTGGTTGATTTAAAACACCACCTGCACCACCCGCTGCTTCCTGGCCAGTCCACCTGCCGCGATTTCTAAATGTGCCAGTGGACAAACCCTTTCCAGCCTGGCCTGCCTGCCCGGCCAAGCGTGTCTCCTGAAGATACCAGTATTTCCGTCTCTGATGAAGGGTGACATGACTCCCCCACACCTCAGCCAACCCCAGTCACTCATGGGGTCGGACTCGAGAATTCTGCATTCCACCCTGTGCTTCTCAAAAAATCAAAGAGCCACTTAAAACCTTTCCCATCCAGCTGCAACGTCTACTGTAAATCAATTTGGTTGTCTTCTAGGAGAGATGCTATTTATTTTGGAGTAGTCATAAGAAGGGCTCCAAGGATCTGGAGTCCGTACAGGCCTATTCTGAATCCCTGATGACTTCAGCTCCCAAGGGCACTGTGCTGCTAGAAGCAAGGCTGTAGGTGGCTGCCAGGTAACACCCCACCCTCCCGCCCCTCCCGTAGCGAGTAGTACTCCTGGGGCCCCACACAGTTCGCCTCTGACTCATTTCTTCAGCCTGAACTCCACCTGGAGTGTGGACACACTGAGAGCATATGTTTGTGTATTTTGTTTTGGGGGCGCCACCCTTCTTACTTTCCAAGCGAGCCGATGGCAGCTTCTTCCACCCGGATGCCTAGAGCTCTGCAGGCTGGTATCTTTGCAAGGTTGTGTTAGCAAAGGTGGAGGACAGCTGCCTCTCAGATCAAACCTCTGGTGCAATAGCCTCCTCCGGGGGTGTTTGCTAAAAATGCAGCTCCTGCAGGGCCGGGGTGGCTCCGTTGGTTGAGTGTAATCTGTGCACCGAAAGGTCTCCTGTTCAATTCCCAGCCAGGGCACGTGCCTGGGTTGCAAGCTCGATATATATGTATAATTTCACCCCATAAAGTTTTAAAAATTTTTATCTATCTATCTGTCTTAGAGAGAGAGAGAGACATGATTTGTCGCCCCACTTACGCATGTATCATTGGTTGATTCTTGCATGTGCCCTGACCGGGGATCGAACCCTCAACCTTGGCCTGTGGGGAGGACACGCTAACCAACGGAGCGACCCGGCCAGGCTGTTGTTTTGGTTTCTGAATATCGTGCCGCCCCCTGGAGCTCCTGGGCCCGCTTGGGTTTAAGTCGCTTTCTTGAGCCACAGAGCCCAGGGTGAGGCAACACCCTGCAGTTTGGGGCCAGCTGGCTGCCTCCGGTTCGCCTGATTGCCAGGGCTGGAGGAAGGAGGAGAAGAGAGCATGCAAAGTGTGGGCAGGCCTGTGCGTGTTGGCAGATGGTGCGGGAGGGGGGGGGGAAGGACAGACAGCTGTGTCCCCAGCCAGGCTCTGGGGGCTCCTCCTGCAAGCTGAGGATAAGAGAGGAGGGCCCACCAGGTCAGGGATGAGCATTAAGGTGACCCCCTGATCCCCAGGCTTGGGGGCAGGGCGCCCCCCTTTCCTCCCTCTCCCAGGAATTCCTCAGGGACACCTCATCATATGCAGTTTGGCCCCTTTGGCACCCCTGTCCCTTCCAGTCATGATTCCCTTCTGCAGAGACTTGCTTAGTACTCTCGGGGTGCAGGGTGGGGTCGTCAGGCACAGGGAAGGGGTCAGTCGCTTCAGCCCGGGGAGCGCCGGTGGCCATGAGGTCAGAGCCCCAGGGCGCACCTCCCTGGACGCAGCCAGGGTGTCCTGCCCCCTCCCTTCCCCCAGTAAAAACTAAACTGAGATCTCTTGCTTTGGCCGACAGAATCCAATGTTCAAGCTACTGGGGAAGTTTTTGACTTAGATTCTGCTGCTCGGCCTTCTGGAGGCAGGTCAGCCTCCACCGCAGAGGCCGCCCTCTGCCCCTGTCACGTATACTTGGGGAATGGGGTGTCCTGTGGGCTTTGGTTCGGGGGCCGCGCCTGGGAAGTGGCCGGTGGTCTTGGAGACCTGGAGTCCCTGCAGGGCAGCTTCCAGCCCGGGCTGAAGATCCACCTGGGTCCGGGGGAGGCCCCACACCCTGCCCTGCGCCTGGGCACCGGGGTGGCCCCGAGGGGCCGCCCGGCGAGAGAGAGAGAGCGAGAGAGGGCGGGAAATGCGGCGGCCGCGAGCCCAGAGGGGTGTTTTGGTGTGAGGAAGAGAGACAGCCCTCGGCGCGACACAGGCAGCTCCAGGGCGGGCGGCTTGGCAAACGCGCCGACAAGCTCTGGCAGCGAGCGGACGGGGCTCCGGGACAGGGCAGCCCCTCGGCGAATGTTCCCGGCCCTTTCTTACCTGTCTGCTGTCCAAAGGCCCGCAGCTAAACACGCGAGGAGGGAGCGGGGAGGGCGAGCAGGGGCCCGCCTCGCTCTGGGTCCCTGAGAGTTTGTAACATGCGTTTATGGGGAAACATACTTTTCCCTTTTGACTTCTGACAGGGCCTCTGTCACGTCGCGGCTCTTTGGGCCCACGTTGCTGACACTCTGGCTGCCCCCCGGTGTCTCCTGCTGCCTCGGTGGCTGAGTCTGGGGAGGGGCGTGTGGGGGGGTCACACCCTCCCTCAGGAAGCCTGGGATCTGCCCCAGAGTCCAAGGGACAGGAGTCCTAACCTCTGCTCTGTCCCGTGCACAGTGGGGGACTTACTCTCCCTCCCCCACTCGGTGAACAGACACCGGGGGCGTGAGCATTCAGGGTGCTCGGACCACAGCTGCCTCCCGCTCGCCCCTGCTGGCGATCGAGCCCGCAACCTGGGCCTGTGCCCTGACCGGGGATCCAACCGTGACCTCCTGGATCCTAGGGCGATGCTCAACCTCTGAGCCACGCCCGCGGGCGGCTTTTCTCACCTTGAACTAGATAGATGGGTGCTGCTCACGGAGGGGGGGCAGGGCAGGGCCGGGGATGTGGGCGGGGCTGGAGGTGGTGACCCGGCTCCCCCTTTCTCCACAGGGCCCCGGAGATGCCCAGAGCCAGCCCAGCCCCACCACTCAGCCAGCCCGGCTCCCCAGCCCCTGCCGCTCCAGCGCCCTCTCAGCCGACAGCCCTCCGGTCCCAAAGTCTGAGCCACACGCGTGTCCGCACACTGCACACACCCCTGACACGTGTATGCGTACGCGTACGCAGGTGTGTGCAGACACGCTCAGGGCCGGGGATGCTGCTGAGGGGACTCAAAGAGAGGCTCACCAGCAGGAACTTTCTGGAGCCTTCCGGAACCTTCTCTCCAAGGCACCCACAGGCATGCGGGTGAACCTGTTCAGCCGCTGGGCCACTTGTCCCCAGCCACCCTCTCCATCAGTCTGCAAACACCACGGCCTCCGCTCGGCTCACCCAGCAGGACAGGGCTTTTACTCCTAGGGTGACCGCTGTCCGAAAACCCAGCCCAGAGTGCAGACTTCTCATGCCAAAGCCAGTGGACAGGGGCCATGGGCTCAGGGCTCAGCCAGACCCAGAGCTGTGGCCTCTGTGCCCATCTGAGCGGGGACACAGCCCCTTCACGGGCCTCAGAAGCCAGCGAGAGTGAGACGCCCCGTTGGGAAACTGACATCGTGCTGTATCCTGAGCCAGCTACTCCTGGCTGGGGTGGCAGGAGGCTGTGCCCCGAGCTGCCCCCCATGAGGGCCCCCATCCTTTAGGTGCCGGCCCGAAGTGGACAGGTCTGGGCCCTGCAGCTGGACGTCCCGCCAGGTGGGAGGCCCGTCCGCCTGCGGCTTCTGGTCTCCGGGGCTGCCCTGTCTCTTTTCTACTGGAAGGAAAATGAGTTTTATCATCTTTTAAAAATAATTTACTATTGAAGTAATAAACCTTTTTAAAAAGTGGACACTCGGGTCCGTGACGGTCTGTTTGCTGGTGGGGGTAGGGGGTGGGGGGCAGCTTCCTGGCACATTCTGGGCTCTTCTCAGTCAGTAGGTCTTTCTTGGAAGCTGCGTCTCTCAAGGGCTGAGCTGCTCGCCTGCCTCTCTCGTTTTACAATTTCAACCACGGGCCTGGACACATGGAGCACCTTTCTGGGCTCGCTCTTCTTGCTACATAAATGGCAGAAAGTAAGCGGTTGAGAGAATGGGTGGGCGCTCTGCCTCTTACTAGCTTTACTAGTGATTTTAGGCAACTCCCTTGACTGCCCTGTGCCTCAGTTTCCCCACCTCTAAACTGGGGATAACAGTACCTGCCTCTTAGAGCGGCAGTGAGACTCAGTTCATACCCGAGATGCTTGGTGCAGCTGGCACACGGAGGGGGCAATAGACATTTGCCATTATTAATATTTTTGTTGTCAGTCCTCACCTGAGGATATTTTTTTCATTGATTTTTTTCAGGGAGAGTGGAAGGGAGGGGGGAGCGGGGAGAGAGAGAGAGAGAGACATCAACAGGTCGCCTCTTGCTCATGCCCCAACTGGGGATCGAACCCGAAACGGGGGTACGGGCCCTGACCGGGAGTCAAACCCACTACTTTTCGGTGCCCCGACTGGCTGCGTGGTCTCCACGGTTCCGATGACCACACGGTCCCTGTCCGTGGCACCTAGGCTGTGTCCAGTTTCCTCGTCGCAGACGCGCTCAGCGTTCTCGCTCTTCCCCACGACCCCTGAGGCACCGCGCCAGGCGTCGGGCCGCGTGGGCACCCAAGCACGGCTGCTTGGAGGCGTTTCCCGGGGTGAGCACTCGGGCGTCGCCGAGGGTGCCACAGGGCCCTGCGCCTGCAGCCGCCCCCAGAGCCCGGGTGGGGATTGCGCAGGAGAAAGGGCCCCACGCGGAACCCGAGGCGCTCGGGCCCGACAAACTCAGAGACCTGAAGCAAGCACACAGGGCGGTCTGAACGGACGACTGCCCACCGAGCGCGTCGTGGCGGGCAGTCGCGTCCCGGCAGGCGTCTCTCTTGACAAAGGTCCGTCCAACTTACGAGGGCCTGTCTAGTGTGTTTTCGCATCTGCGATAACCTACCTTTGAAATGTCAGAGTAATTTCCTTTTCTCCAGACCCCTCGGCACAACCTCCCACCAGAGACCACAGGACCCCTCATTGTTAGCCCAGATACCATCTCCACGTGCCACAAATGCTGGTTATTAACTACCCAGCACCCACCGATGTAGAAGCAGCGTTTCTCTGTTCTACTTTTCACCCAGCCCCAGGCATTTTCCCTGCTTTGCATTCTCTGCTCCCCTTAATTTACACCCATGGTGTCCACGTAACCTCCTTCGGTCTCCTTGGAGCCTCACGTGTAAAATAAGCTGTAAAGCTGCCGTTCTCCGGAGCGTTTTCTCAGTCCCTTGAGATCACTTCCTGGCCAGAGGCCGTCAGCGCGGCTCAGAGAAACTCAGAGACTCTCTATGGGTTTTGTGCGTTTCTTGTGCGGACAGGGTGGGCTCCCAGCTGGTGATGGGCAGCTGGGGTTCTGTCCCCATAAACCCCTATATTCATTCCTGAGCAATATTCCTGGCGCGGCCACTTGGGGGCGAGCTGTGCACACAGGTTGTTCAGAGGCCTGATTGAAGAGGTGCTGCCGGTGACCTCTTATTAGGGCTCCTTAAATTGGGACTGAGTGTCACCTGAGGCCACAGCCTGGCTCCAGGAGCTTGTAACCTTAAGAAATTGCATTTTATGCATGTATCTGGGCTTTTTTTTTTTTTTGTAATCCTCACCTGAGGATATTGTTTCCCACTGATTTTTAGAGAGGAAGGGAGGGAGGGAGAGAGAAACATGGACGTGAGCGAGACACGTCCGTTGGTTGGTTGCCTCACCCATGCTCGGACCAGGAGGGCCAGGGATGGGACCTGCAACCCAGGTAAGTGCCCTTGACCGGGAATCGAACCCGCGACCCTTCAGGGTGCAGACCGATGCTCTAACCCCTGAGCAGCCCCGGCCAGGGCAAAAGAGCACTTTGGGGACCGGGAGCTGCATGTGCAAAGGCCCTGAGGCCCGAACCGGAACCGAGCGGGGCGTGGCTGGAGCGCAGTGAGCTGAGAGGGACGCGAGGCTGGGGCTGGGCGGGGCTGAGTCCGCAGGACGCTGTGGGTCGGGTGGTAAACACGGTGGGAAACCGCCGGGGGCGTGTGTGTCGCGGTCGCGCGGGGACCGCGCTGCGCGCAGGTGCGGGTGCGGAGGGAGCCGGCAGGAGGCGCTCTGCGGGCTCCACAGCCTCCCTGGCCCCCGGCCCGCGCCTTGGGACCCTCAGGGCGCCCTGGAGATGGGCGGGGCAGGAGGCCGAGGCGAGTTTCACGGGCGGGGAAACTGAGGCACGGTCCTCGTTTCTTCCTTCTTGCCCCCTAGGGGAGGCCGCTGCTCCTTGCTTTTCCCTCTCAAGGCCCCGGGTACCTGCCCTTCGCGCTTTGATCTTTATTTGGTTTCCAAGCTCCCGGGGTGCGGGGTCCCCCTGCGTCCCCGGCGCCTGGCGCAGCGCCCGGCACCTCCAGCCGTGCGCGCGGGTCTCCGTCGCATAAATGATGGGGGAGCAGCGGGGCTATGGGTGTGGCCGCAGGAGGAGAGCGCGGGGCCCGCGTGGGTGTGGCCGCCCCTCCCCGCGTCCCCGCAGCTCCCGCTCCCGGCTCCCGCGTTCAGGCCCCAGAGTCCCGCCCCGGGTCCGCCAGAGGCGGGCAATGGCCGCCAGGGGGCGCTGTGGGCCCGCCCTCCGCAGGCGCCTGAGTCCAGGGAGCCAAGGCCCGCGCCCACCCTGAGCCTCCAGAGGGCTCACAGCCGCTGGATTCGGAGGCTCTGGATATGTTAACGGTAAAAAATAAAAGAAAATAAAACCTAGATGGACCAGGGCCGCACAGACCGTGCGCCCTCGTGTATGTTTACATTTAACTAGGTAACAGTTTCCACGCATAGAAGCACCACGCGCCCGGTGCCAAGTGATGGCGTCTGTGCAAACACTAACAAACAGCGTCCAGCCAGGGCTTTAAAATATATATATATTTATTGGCTTTTAGAGAGAGAGAAACACTGATGTGTTGCTCCACTTACTTGTGCATTCATCGGCTGACTCTTGTACGTGCCCTGACCGGGGTTCGAGCCCAGAGCGTTGGTGTATGGGGACAATGCTCTAACCGACCGAGCTTCCCAGCGCCGGGGCCTGCCCAGGACTTTTGAGTAGGGGCCACTGCTTTGGCGGGGACTGTTTTTCTGATGTTCCTCTCTGGAGTCTCGGGAGACAGCTCCGAGGGCCCCAGGCCTGTAGGCAGTGTCCTGGATGTAGGCAATGTCCCGGAGCCTGGAGTCCTGACCGTTTCCAGATTTCACCGCAAGCGCGACAGCCTCCAGAAGTCCTCGGCTGAGGCCGGAGGGGGCCTTCGAGATGGGGCTGTTTGTTTTCTGCTTTAAGGAACAGATGTCTGAGCAGCGTTGGCCTTGATGCGAATTTCTGCGAACCAGAGCATTTACCTCCTGGACGTCCATGACGCAATGGGCTTCCCCTCCCCGGGGAACACAGCTCAGCAGATGGGTCCGGAACAGCGTGGCGTGGAAGGCATGAGGGCTGCGGCCAGCCCCGAGGTGGTTTTTCAGAACCGTGGAACATCCTTCTGGTCTCTGGGACACTCCGTCTGTTTCCGTGACCCGCCCCATCTGCCCTTCTCTGGGCCACAGGAATTTCTTCCGTTGTAGGGGATGGAGACTCCCAGATGGGGCATCTCTGGCCCTGCCTTGGGCTGTGCTCGGCCCTGTGGTCTCTGGCTCCAGCAGGGACAGCTGTTTGGGTGAAGGACGTGGCTCCTCCCTCCCACGATACCAGCTGAGCCGACGAGGCAGGAGGCAGGAGGCAGGAGGCAGGGGTGGGAAGCTATCGCTGTTTGCTCAGGAGGCCTGACTACACCGTGTCCCCTCCGTGTCCAACAGGAGTTCTGCTTCCCGCCTCGTTCATGTCACAGGCCGTTGTCAGGACTGTAAAGAAGGGCGGTTTATGCCCTTGGGGCTGGAAATCATCAGAGAAGACTTTGAAATGTGTCACAAAGTAGTTTGGGGACAAACGGTAACATCCAGGACACAAGTTAAGTGAATCCCCACTTAATGTCCCGATAGGTTCTGGGCAGACCAAGCGTAAGGAGAACCACTTATTGTGGGCTAATTGCGATAAACCGGCGTTAAGTCCCTACAGCACCTCGCCCGCGTGGTAACTGAGCCAGGTGAGGTTCCAAACCCAGGACCTGACGAGGGCTTTTGGAGCTGGGCTGTCATGCGGGTGTCACCAGGAGGTGTGGCTGCCGAGCACCTGGTGCGAGTACTTGCACCTGTCCGGCCCCGAGTGGCTTTGGCATAATGCGTAGAATTACCTGCTTCCAGCGATGCATGTAGAGCGGCAGAGGGGTTCCCGGGGGCCCGCGGAGCCGGGCAGCAGGCGGACACCCTGGAAGGCCGGGGGTTTGCTCGCCCAGCGGCAGGGTGGCTGGAGCGCAAGCCGGGGGGGGCAGGCGTGCCCGCCCGGAGCTTGGCCGGGGAGCCAGTGGGTGTGCAAGGCCCTCCCTCTTTCCACGCTCACAACGACCCTCAGGGGGGCTGCCGTCCTTCCTCCCATCGCACCGCAAAGGTGACCTGGCCTCGCCAGGCGGCCAGCAGGTACGGGCTGGCTCTGCGCGGAACTCAGGGCAAGAAGGGGGGTCAGAGGCGGGTAAAGGGCCAGTGAACTCCAGGTGTCTGTCCCCTGGGGGCCCATGGCCAGGGAGCCTCCATGGTCTGTTGTCTCTGGCCACGATCCCGGGGCAGGGCCAGTTCTAGGGTAACTCCGGGCCTGTGTGGGGTCACCTCCCAGGGGACAGCAATGGCCTTGAGCCAGACCAGAAGGTGCAAGCTAGTGGCCTATAGACCTGTTGACTTTGGCTCACA